GCACACGCTGAGCACTGGTGGTAGAAATCGGCAATCGCCTTTGCTTATTGGTGGTAATGGTAGCGACTGTCACTCAGAGAAAAGGCTAAGCTAACCACTCGTGTGATTTTGATGGGAACTGAAGAAAGAGTTTTCAGAGGCAAAGCCGGTGGTATGGAAAAGAGGCTAGGATGAAGGATGAGGAGATAAAAAGAAGAAAGATGTTCTGAAGTTGGCAAGGATGTGCAGAGGGGATAATAAATCTCAGAAGGAATGAATGAGGTAGAGTGAGGAAAGTGAGATAAAATGAAGACAGTTATTTCCTCCTTGTGCCTTTCGCTGACCCTATTTAGATGCCTGAGGGGGTGGCCACAGGCAATGGAATTCTGGATTACTCTTCACTTCTTTAGTTTCTTCTCGTCTTTTCCATTTTCTTGTAACTCTTCCACTTCTCTCTCTCTTTTTTTCTTATGATGTCCGATCACCGGACATGATTGTTGTCTATCACTTGAGCGATAGATAAAGTGGGGCAAGGAGTGGCAGTTTTTAGCCAGTGGTAGAGGGGAAGGAAGGAGAAAGGAAAGGACATCTCCCATGGGCAGTTTTTCTGGGGGAGTTAATATCAGTAAGTGACAAATGTAAATTGGTTCTCTGTAAGTTGGGGCATGACAGAATATAGGCATTTATGTTAGAATATAACAAAGCAGTTTATCACTAATGTCATTAGTAACAAGACTTTCCAGTCTTCTCTTGTCATGTGTTAATTTTCATCTGGCTTTCAAAAAACAATTCTGCACATTCTTTCTTAGCTAAACCTGCTGGCTGTGCACTCTTTCCTCTTACAAACGTTCCACTCTGTTCAAATCACTTCCAGGGAAGAAGAGGTTAAACAGGAGAGTTCACAGTGGATTGTATATCTACCAGGGTTTGTTTGTTTGTTAGTTTTTGGTAACATATGGAATCCCTCATTGCAAAGAGAAGTTAGCGAAGACATAATAAATAACATTTTTGTTCCTGATCCAAATCTGTTTCTCCCCAAAGCCCAGAAACTGTCTTTCTAACACCGAAAGATATAAGCCAACAAGGCAGATCTTGAGAAAGACTGTCCCTTTCTCTTCAAAGAAATATTCCTGGAGGGTAGCCTGGGCTGTTTTCCTTTAAGGTTTTCTAGAATGAACAGATGTAACAATTTTCTATAATTTGCCTTGGTGCAGATGCTGGAAGAGAACATTCACCATAAAATATATGCAGTATATGTAATTTCAGCTGGCTGTTCTGGGGCTTTAAAATAAAAATGTGTACCTGCAAGCTGTTTTATGGTTTCTCAGTCATAATGATCTCTGTTACAGAGAAGGCTACAACAGCAACCCCTCCTTCACATGCAAGGTTTCCAAAAATATCTTGATACTTTTGCATGTTCTGCAAGGCGCAGCAAGGCACAGTGTTCTCCCCCTACTGGGCTTGGGAAGGGTATTCGAATGTTTAGTTTCTCTTTTTGACACAATCACAAAGTAATTGCATCAACAGGGAAGATGGTGGATAATTGAGGATGAAGCCCTTGCCAAAGATGCTATAGTCCAAATAGGCTTTAAGTAATAAAGCCTGCAGAGGAACTTCAGCTAAGGTTACCTACAGCACGACGACGGCAGATGATGTGTACTTATTGAAACTGTGTGTATTATCCTGATAAAATGGGAGAAAAGTGGTGGAGAAGGTGGTGAGAATTCTTCATGGCTGCTGCTTGCTACCTGCCTCCAGGGAGTCTGAGCTTATGCTGGGGGCAGCCCTCAGGGGATGGGTAAGGAGAGGGGCTGGGCATCACGGTGAAGCCAAATCCCCAGACAGTCCATGAGTGAACGCACTGCTGCGTACCGTCCTCTGCCAGCTCAACGGTTGACCCTCCCTCCAATTGTCAGCCCCCATCACCGACTACTTCATTTGTCCCTGCTGCACAGAAATATGTTTTCCACGGTAATTACAAGATGGATTTCCACCAGTGCCTCTCATCACGTGCCTGTTGAGCGTCTACTACTGAGTGGTTCAATAGTTACCATTCGGGTTCCATTGGTCCTCTCCGCCCAACACAAACAGGAAGTTTTCCACCTCCACGACGCAGTGATGGGCACTGTTGTAGGGCATGACTAGAATTGAGAAGGAAAAACAAAGGACATATGAAAATTTTCATCTTAGGACTTGACACCCTGGTTCACAAGTTATGTGCTTTCACCAAAATGCACACAACATGAGACTAAGTCAGAAGGAAGAAGCGCAGACAGACAGCAGAGCGGGGCACCCCCCAGTCCACAGGGCTCAGCAGTGTGTTTCCAGCAATTGCCAACCCCACCCCTTTGGATGAATTTTACATAACATTATTCCGCAGATCAGTCAAGAACAACGTGTCGGGCTGCTTTCGATTCTTAAGTTCTCCTCGCCTGCCTGATGACGGGGATCGCAGTCTAAAACCATGAATGACACTCCCAAACGGTCAGGGCTGGGGGTTCCGTCTTGGAAGAAATCCCCCGGCATCCACCCGGAGCCATTAAGCTGCTCTGCCCAAACTTGGCTTGCTGGCAATCTTTCCACAAACAGACTCAGGGTGCTTGGCTGTTTTCTATTCCACAGCAATGAGCAAGCTGAATTTCCATACAGTTTTAAGTTTTTAAATTAAGGTCCTGCTGATTTAATGCCTTCTCCAAATGTATACGCTTAATTTCCTGTACAATGTCATTAGCAGCACAATCACACATTTTCTATCTATCTGCTTAAGAGCTCTTCTGGAACAAAGATAAAAACTGTCAGGAACGTCACAAATATCCATTCCCCTCGTCTCGCCCTGCTCTGCCCCTAATGCGGTGCCTGTGAAGAGGGGGATGTGATTCAGAAAACCCACCAAAGCCAGGTGGCCCTGGATCTGTTCTCATGCACACGTTCGTTGGGGAGACACACACGACCGGAATAGGACACCCCTGTTAGCCCGTATGTGCAGTGCCGTGTTCGTCTCTGCTATTATTATATCTCATGGTGAATGTAAACGTACACGGCATTAGCTGTCACACCGCGGGCAGTGTGGTTTGGGCCCAGTGACACCAGTAGGAAAAATGATGTCCTTGTTCAGCTCATCATATGGGCACCTTAAATCTAGGTGAGGACAAATGGGGAGGTGATATGCATGTTCAGCCAGGGAACTTATTGCTTGACACGGATCAACAGAGCACTTAAGAAACCAGTGCAGTGGGAAATCAATATGAGTCAGGGCCAGCTCGTGCTCTGTACTCTTCTGCCAGTGGTGAGAGAAAGATAGGGAGACAGATGGGGGTGGGGGGGGGGAGACAGAGAAAAAGAGAGAGAAAGGGAGACAGAGAGAGAGATAGGGAGACACACAGAGAGAAAGACAGAGAGAGAGAGAGACGGAGGGAGATAGATAGGGAGACACACAGAGAGAGACAGAGAATGAGCCTATCTTATAACTCAATTTATCTGAGATGATACATATCTCTCATTTTACTTTGTTTTTAATATCTTCTATTTTTCTTAGAATGTACTTATGCTGGCTAAGATATGTAAACAAAAATAAGAAGAAACTGGCAGAGCTTTGAATCCTTATAACACATCTCCAGAAAGAGCAAATCAGATAGCTTAAGCCTCTCATTAAAGGATTTTAGGAGTTTTTCATTATTTTTATTAGGTATTCACTTTTACTGTGAATATTCACTGTCTCTGCACTAACAGCCACAAGGGAGATGGCATTGGTATGGAAATCCTGCATTTCTGGGATCGAGTGAAAATTGGGAAAATTGGGTGTGCCCTGGATTTTCGTGGCCCGTGAATTAAGTCAAGTGATTTAGGGAGTTGTCTAGGGAATGTCCTTGTGCCTCTCAACCTTCAGTTATCTCTTTGGAAAACGCTTTCAACCACACAGCTCCTGCAGGTTTCACTTCTCAGAGTCCACTGGGGCAAAGTATATGTTGAGTTTGTGGAGCAACTACAGTTGGGTGACTGATTATACACTGAACACCTTTTTTTCTTTTCTTAAATTAATTCATCATTGTTTGCATTATGATGCTGGTTCCAAAATACCAAGCACAAAACTGTGCTACTCATATGTTATGTATACTGTGGGTATTGTGAACAAGCTGGTACTACTCTGGTTTATCATAATGTCATCTGGTCAGAGCAAACTCAGCACAGATTGTTTCACCTGGATGCATCTATTCATATGAAACCTAAGTAAGAAGAGAGGCCACTGGTGGTTCAGTGATTAAGACTCCGCATCCCCAATGCAGGGGATCTGGGTTTGATCTCTGGTTAGGGAACTAGATCCCGTATGCTTGCATGTTGCAACTAAGACCCTGAGCAGCCAAGGGGGAAAAAAAAAAAAAACTGACTATAACCAATTTACTTTATGACTACCACTCTTCCAATATTTATTTTAAATTTTTGGTCAATTCAATGCCCACATCTTATAAATAATAAAAATTGTGTTATCTTCTTTTTAACTGGAAGTCCAGCTTTATATTAATAATAAAGCACAAACTCTGAAAATAGAACAATAGTTGTGTTTTGTTCTTGTCATTTACTTGCTCCCATTCAGGCAGAAATTAAGTGAAGGAAATAATACATGATTGATTCTTAAGCTTCTTTCTCATTTGATTGCCCCTATTGTTAAGCTTTGTGCAAACAAATGAAATTATTGCACTAAACTATTGAAACCTTCAAAATAAGAGAGGACAAGGTCTTTGAAATGCTCATATAAAGGCCACTTGAAGATATTCTCATTTATCTACCCATGTTTTAAAACCTTGCATGCTATATTTCTTGGCTCTTTCAGCATCTTCATTCCTGAATTATTGTTGTGAATCAAGAAACTATACATACATACAGAAAATCCTTTGAGATGATTATGAACGTAAAACACTCCAAATCTATTAGAAAAATGTTGCTATGAAATCAATGTTTGAGTTTTGCAGAAGATCTCATTGCTTTGACTTCTGATTAAGCCTGAAGGAAAGCAAAATAAAGAAAGCAGTGAGCAAGACAAAACATCTGTTTAAAATGACATCGGGTATGGCAATTATTGATTATCTTAAATAACAAGAAAGACGTGCCCACTTCCTTCCACATTTCTCCAGGGGTGGACACTGGCCTCGCCCTGCCAAGCAGGTATCATAAGAGAAGTTTGTACTCCCTGTTCATATATAGCCCGGTGTGAGTTTTTAGCGTGTCAGTCAGTGAGTTAGAGGGAAAGGGTAAAGAGAAGCTAATCAGGATGAAATGAGATTAAAGGCTGTCTAATTTTACAGCGACTGTGATCCATCAGCCACTGTGAAAGTGACAGTGGAAATGAATGATGGAGACAGACAGGTGGGGCTGTACATTTCACTGATTTATCCTCAAATGCACTGGGCCTTATTTTATTGAGTGAACATGACCGCATTTATCATTACTGTCATCTAAACCCACTTCCCTCCATTTAAAAAGGTCACTTTACTCACAGGGAGTAGGAGAGAGGCACTTTCAAAATCAGATTTAAAATCTAATAACACGTGTTTATAAGGCCCTTTGTGAGAAGTCTCAACTTCATTAAACAAACTCAAAATGCTATAAGGAAAGAGAAAAACAGCCAGAAAACTGAAAAAGAAGAAACCTCTGGTCATCTGAGGGGTTCATTCAGTCTCTAAATGTGAAGCAGTTTGTGTCATTTTTGCTTTCTCAGTCCAAACCCCTGCTATTCTATTCTAGTCTGGGAAATTTTATAAACCATTTGAATTTAATATTTTTAATTAAGAAAGTAGGAAGCAGATGATTCTATAAAATAAACTTGGAGAGAATATTAAGTCAGACTATTTACTCTGCAGAATGACTGATCATCATACACTGAATAGATGTTAGTCATTGTTACAAGTTGAATCCTTGCCGCAATTCACTTACATACCTGTTAATTGTTTTCTCATAATTTTAAGGCCATAAAAATCTCAGTAACACAAATTCTTTTACTCTTTTCTGTACAGTGCAATGAAACGTCCTGGGATGTTATTCACAGAATTAGTCTTTGTGGATGTGAAAATGAAGAGTCAAACTCTCAAGAGTATTTTGAGTTACTTTTCACAGCAGGAACCACCATTAACCAAACATTTGCTATGTGCCAGGCATTGTGCAGGTTCTCTATACGTATATGTAAATATAATTATATTTATATATTTGTGTGTGTCTGTGCTCAGTCGTGTCTGACTCCGCAACCCCACGGACTGTAGGCCACCAGACTCCTCTGCCCACAGGATTTTTCTGGCAAGATTACTGTAATGGGTTGCCATTTCCTCCTCCGGGGAACTTCCCAACCCAGGGATCGAACCCGCATCTCCTGCATTGACAAGCAGATTCTTTACCACTAAGCCACTGGGGAAGTCAATATTTATATATAGTTACCTATATTATATTTCTGAAAACATAACAAAACTTATGTTTTGTTATTACTGGCTCCTATTCAGGTAGAAATTACATGAAGGAAATAACATATTATAATACATGATAAAATATGACATGATAAAATATATATTTTATTTGCCCATAGCTTTCATTTAATACAGCTAACTACAAGGGTAGCATTAGTGATTCACTTTATTTCTGTAAGAAATACTGAGGCCTTGAGAGGTTAAGTCACTTGTTGAAGGTCAGACTCAGCTAATGAATGGCAGAGATAGAATCCAAACACAGGGCTATCTGGATCCCAACCCACGCTCTCATCCATTTCACTCTACTGATTTTCAATAGGTATGTTCATCCAACCAGCAAGTAATTACCGAGTACCTGTGTGTTCAATGATGGTGTTCCTGAAAGTTCTGTATAATTTTTTGGTATTGAATCGTATTTTAAATATTTATTCTTTTTGTATTTAAAAGGATCCTTAATTAAAGCAAGTTGACACTCCTTTACATTTTTTCCCTATAAATCCAGATATTCAGAGTGGATTTTTCTGAAAGTAAGATACATGTATTTGATGGAGCCAGAAAAACACTGACCGAATCAGCCAGGCAAGGATGGAGAGAGTCTATTGGCAGAGGGTTTTTATCTTTTGAACAAGAAGGGCATATTTCAACCTTGCAAGCAGATTCAAAGTACCTTGGGCCCAGAGGCCCTTTTCCTG